AATTATGTATAGCTGATGTCATTTAATCATATTATTCTATATTTAAAAAAAGTTCTGAATTATTCTAAGGCTTTACTCATTGGGAACTCGGTATAAGAAAGATCACACTGTTGAGAATCATATCTGCCTGTTTTACACTCTTTGACCAACAGGGGGGGTTGGTGTTCAGATGGAGCCTCAGGAGATGAACCCTTTTGTGAACCAATTGGCTGGAAAGTTTACGATAAAATGGACCGTTATTAATCCCTGTGCGTGAATTCAGTAGTTTAACAGCAGCAGGATAAGAGTGAAGAACAGGACAGCACAGATTCATACAGATTAGAGATGAATACAATTGAAGATACAAATCCTACCGATAGTATATACAAGTTGAAATCAGTGTCCCAACATTAACAATCAAACTAAGTACGATACAAAGAGTAATGTGAGAAAAATAGAGAGTGGACAAGAAAGGCGCCAAGTAAGTAATAATAATAATAATAATAATAATACATTTCATTTATATAGCACACTTTAAAAACAACGTCATCTCAAGATGCTTCACAATGCTATAAGGAGAACATAATAAAACCAATAAATCAAAAGTCAAAAGTATTCCTTCAGAGCTTCATAAGGCTTGATCTCACCATCACTAGTTGGAGGTAGGAGTCAGGCAGGATGACTGCAGAAACAGGAATTAGAAACTTGGACAAACAACTCGAGTATCAATTAGCAGGCAAGCCCATGACCAAGTAGCTGTGTACCAGAATCTACGATCTGACGGCTTGGTGGAGCTGAAGCCCGGTATATAAAGCCCAGCTGATTGAGTGACAGCAGCTTGGCACCTGCTCCCCATCCCACTCCTGTACTCAAGCACAGACGCTCAAACAGACACAGAGGAGGGAGGTTTTCTGATCTCAATATCTAGCCTTGGTTTACAGCAGTTAGCAAGTCAACTATAGCTGATGTCATTTAATCACATTATTTAAGTCTTAATCTTTCTGTAATAATACAAATATGTTTGAATCAACAAAAGCATGTTGTACAGATTTATTCTTCACAAAATAAGTTTTCTAATCTTAATATCTAGCTGTGGTTTATAACAGTCTATTTTCTCCTTCTTTCCCTGAACCAGCCCAGATGATCTCCCTCACACCAGGTCAGCACCTCCAGGTCCACCATGACCCCCTGCTGTGCTGAAATATACAACTAAACATTTTATATTTCCTAGTTTTATATTTATTAATATAATTAAACTGAATGTAAGACGGTTTAATGACCTAGAGACATCCTATCATTCCACTGCTTATGTACTTCATGTTGTGAATAATTTTAAAGACCTCAGTAAATGAAATAAACAATTGATTTAATAATAACGATTTTAATTACATGTTTGAACTTTGTGATATGGCACACAGATGTGATTTATACAGAAGTGACAGAAGTGATGAGCTCTACAGTTCTGCTGTCTGCTTGTGTGAAGTGACTTTTTGTAGCCCTTCCCTGAATTACAGCGCAGTTATTGAATCTTTTTCCAGTTCAATATTAACTTAAATTGAGCAAAAGAAATACAAAATATTTTCAGAATCAGAATTCCTTTATTTGTCCAGAAAAGGGGAAATCCACAGAATTACAACCGCAGAGGTTTAGTGCTGAAAAAGTGAAAAGAGTAGACTGTATATTAAATATATCAAAGTAGGCACACGTTATTAATAATGAAGAATTACAATAAGTAAAAACACATAAGTACACTATGGTTACAATTATGTATCAGCTGTGATCCTGAACAGACTGAACTCTCTGGGCAGCAGGGAGGAAGTCTCTGGAACAGGAGGAGACTCTTCCTCCTACAGAGGAACCAGAGACACTGAGGAACCAGAGCTGAACCCAAGACCCAGCATAGAGAGGTTCAGTGAATGTGGTTCTGATGGTGTGGAGGTGGATCAGTGTGTCAGAGGAGACTCTGTAGAAGGAGAGAGAGCCAGCAGGATGATCCAGATACACTGCTACTCTACCAGAGGAGGAGGAGGAGGAGGAGGAGGAGGAGGAGGTGTGTGTTACTGTGTTATTGTGATAGACAGAGTAACGACCACCAGAGCAGCTCAGACTCCAGGACTGATCATTCCTTCCAAACCTACAGTCCTCTCTGCCTCCTCTCCTGCTGATTCCTCTGTAAGTCACTGATATAGAAACCCCTCCTCTCCTCTTGATTCCTCTGTAAGTCACTGATATAGAAACCCTTCCTCTCCTCTCGACCTCCCAGTAACAGCGACCAGTCAGAGCTTCTCTGCACATCAGCTGAGGCAAGGAGTCAAACCTCTCTGGATGATCAGGATATTTCTCCTCCTCCTCCACATGTGTCACCGTCCTGTTGTCCTCAGACAGTTGGAGTTTTCTGTTCACTGTGTTTGAGTCCAGTGTGAGTCCACAGGAATCTGATGAGAGACACAGCAGGTATTAAAGGTTATTAAAGTACCTGTGATGTCCCAGTGTGAAGATGTTCATGATTAAAAACACACTTACACTTCCTGATACCTGGCCTCAAGAACCGGACTGCAGCAGGCTCCAGGCTGAGAGCAGAGGGGGGGTCAGTTAGTCTTTAAAGGATCTGATATGTCCGCCTCAGTCTGCCTCCAGAAACATCTACAAACACTGAGGTGTCTCTTTCATGATGTCTATGATCTCCTCTCCAGGTGTTGATCAGGTGGGGGCATGCTTCCTGTGTGCAGCGTTTGTGTGCATCAGGAAATATGGGTTTCTCTTTGGTTCACTGTGCGCTTCATATTTATCTTTTCTCTTGATTTCTGATTCCCTGAATCTGTTTGAACATGTTTGAGTTTTGTTACATTTATATAAAAAACGCTTTCTGTGTGGATCTCTCTGGATTTGAGGGGCCCCAGACTCTCTCACCCCCCCGGTCTCCGCAAAACGTGTAGATGTTACGCTACATTGCAAACGCATGAAACACACCCTCGAGGGGACACACGCATGTGATTGGCTCAGAAATGGAATCAGACATCTGATTGGCCGAAGACACTCGCCTCTTAAAAAAATGTATGTGTGAATCTAGCGGCATCTGGGGGAGTCTCAAGAATCCAGAGGTTCACTCTCAGATGCTGAGAGCCCACAGGTTCTGTTGCTGCTGTTATTCTACTCAGAGACGGTAGACGCAAACACAAACTAGACTTTTGAAACTGAGGAAGATAAGGAGGACTTTTACAAAACAGTAATAGATTGTTGTCCAGAAGGAGAGCATG